AAAGAGGCAGATGTATTCCAAGGAGTGGGTTGGGTTTAAGACAGCATGGACAAAACTATTCTGTTGCCACCAGGCAGTGGTTAAATGAGGTCGGTCTCTGTGAGCACTGACCTGTACAGTCTGTGGTGTCTACTGAGATAAGTACAAAGAGCCGTGAAGCCCATTGCTTGTAATCCTCTCCTATTCACTCCAGAATGTCCTCTGCAATCATTACAGCAGAGATCGTGGAAATCCTGCTTCAGCTCTCAGTCCCAGCAGAAAGCTGAAGCCTTGCACTTGAGCATGAAAGTATCTGAGCTAGTTTGGGGTTGAAGTAGGATTTGAAGTTGAAACCATGCAAAATGGGTACATTCATAAAACAGGAATATGAAAATCTTGGTAGCAATACTGGAATTATTTCTAAGACTGAATTCATATCTAAACCTCTAAGAGAAGAGGAAGTTAGTGGAAAAAATGGAATCTGGACTCTCATGAATGGAAGCAGATGAGTTGTCCATGGCTTTGGACAAGATGCCATGCAAAGCAGCATACAAGATCTACAGGCATACTTTACTATGCAATTCATCAGCAATTTTTTAGGAATAAATAATTTAAAAATCCAAACTTGAAGCACTTTGTGGAGATTTTCAGACTTTTCCCCACAATAGACTCTGTCCCACTACAGGAGTTCAGAGAGGAGAGTGGTCTGCTATTTGAGGTGCTGGACCATTTCCAGTGAAGGGCAACAAGGCTCATAAACAGTCTAGAACATGAGTCTCAAGAGGAATGGCTGAGGGAGATGAGTTTGTTTAGCCTTGAGAAGAGGCAGCTCAGGGTGACCTCATCACTCTCTGCAGCTACCTGAAAGGGGGTTGTAGAGAGATGAGGGATGGTCTCTTCTGCCGTGCCTGCAGTGAGAGGACTAAAGGTCATATGCTGAGACAGGAAAGATTCAGAATGGATATTAGAAAAAATTTTCACTCTTAGGGTGGACAGGTATTGAAATAGGTTGCCTGGGGAGGTGGTGAATCCAGCCCTGGAAGTGATTTAGAGGTGTCTGGATCTAGCACTGAATGATATGGCTTAGGGTTTAGTGGCTAATGGGTTAACAGTTGGACTCAATGATCTTAAAGGTCTCTTCCACCCTTGGTGATTCTATGCTTCTTGTGATTTCTTCTTGAATCCTTGCTGCATTATCTTCTTACTTGTCTGCGAACAGAGAGATATAACAGTCCTCCTCTTCTTCCCGCTCCCCTTCACATGGCTTCCCACCATTCACTGGAGAGGGGTTATTACATTCCCGGGTCCTTCTTCTTTTGAATGAAGCATTGCATGAACTCCATTCAGACCAGCAACCCCAGCGACCATCTACAGCAACTGCAAGAAATGAAAGAAACCATTTCTGGCAGAGCTATACCATACAAATTATTTCCTTTCAGGCCACATATGAGACGGATGATGCCAAAATCATAACAGCCATTTTCAGAGGATTTGAAATTCTAGCTATTAAGGTGTTCAGAGTAATTTCAGCTGCTTCATGAAAATCTAAAATATGTCTACTATTCTGGTTTTACTTGCAAGTAGCATCCAAACCCTGAAACAGGCGATTTTGTAATTTTATTGCACACACAGATGTGTGAGTTTTCATGGTGCTGACAACATTCTTATGTAGGTCAGTATTTAATTTTTTCTATATAAATCTGAGCTTTAACACCATGTCTAAACCCCATATCCACATCCCATGCCAATTAAGTTGAATCACTACTACTATCTTCTCTTAACCTCTGGGGTATTTCATCTGTGTGACCATGAAGCTTATATAAAAATTTTTATTTACACACCCTTTCTTTTCTGCATGTAATACACTTTCTACATCCATCACTACCTGTTTATCTTCAATTTCTAGTTTCTTTCAAAATATTATTTATCAGGGTGAGATAATGAGACCTGTAGCTGCCCAAGTGTCTTTCCTTTCTGTCCGTATTTGGTCCTGGAATATAAACATATGTAATGTCTCTTCTATTTTCCATAGGTATGGAACTAGTGCAAATTTATTTTAAAAATGTTTTTGCATTAAATTGTTCTTTGATTTCTCCTGAATGATGATCATATTCCCTATCCTTATGACAACTGAGTTTTTCTCCTACACCGTAATCAACAATTTTTATCTTCAATAGCCATTTAGTCTTAAGCATAGTAGGCTATTGGGAAAACTAAGGAATGGTTTCTTAATTTTTGCATCCCTTATATTTGATCTAAATTTTACCCTTATCGCTGAACAGCTCGTTTCCTCTTATGAGCTAGTACGTAGCTAAGAAATCTTTTACCCTTTCTTACATTTTCTTTTGAGTTGTGCCTATTCAGTTCAATATTTTTACTTTTGACCCTTCTTTCGTTCCTATATTTTCTGGGCATCACCACATGGTAAGAGGTACTATGGATTTAGTAATGGAAGATTATGTCAGATTAATCATTGACAAATAAGACAGAAGAAGGACCATATTTACATTATGACATTATTAGCCCAAATACCTGATTTGTAATCTGGAGCTCGTGTCTCACAGTTTTTGCCGTAGGTGCCAGCCTGGCACAGGCAGAGGCACTCCATCCCAGAGAGAACAGGCCTGGCATTGTTGGGGCATGGGGCACACTGGCAAGGGTCAAACCTGCCTGTGTATTCTGTCAGGGCTCTCCACAGGTTGCGGCGTTTGGTCACAGCACATGGCACGTTCTTCACCAAATCCACAATGGGCGACACCTAGTAGAGAGCTGTTCAGTAAGCAGTTCCCTAAACATAGCAGGATCCTTCTGGGGGTAGCAGAAGGATTTTAAAGGCACTAGAGCCTACATATGAAGGCTCTAGTGCCCAATAACACAGGAATTGGGCATGTTGAAAGTTATGGATGCTTTAAATGGGTGTGGCAATGCTATACATCTGTATTATCCTGGTTATATTGTTTTTATTTTCCCAGTTTAGGGCTCTATGAACCAGTGGAAAATCAACCAAGTGGGATACAATGTCTTAAAATTCAGGATGCTATATATGACGTGGGGTTTGCTTACATGTTTGGTCCCTGCCATGTCAGATATCCCTACGCTGCCTTCAGGAGCTCAGCAGCTGCAGTGGGAGAAGCCTCACTACGTGCTGCATTCAGGCAGGTTTCACTGTTTGCCTCAAGTGCTTTGCCACTGCTGGTGAGTAGCTGCTTTGCTAGCCAGAGAGAGAGGCAGCTCAGTGCAATCACAGCAGTGCCAACACTGCATGAAATGAGAAGGACAGAGATAGAGGGGATTGCAGTTTTGTTTCCATTTAGCTATGTGACATACTTTGCAACATAGGCCTGGCAAGGGAATGATCACAGGACAAAAATGCATTCCCAGCACCACACACTGCTTTCCTGCATGGTAACTAACCCATGCCCATGCCTGAGCTCCTGCTGATGTCAGAGCAATTCACTTACATTCCTCACTGTTACTCCCACTGTCCATGGGTGACACAAAACTAGTGCAGCTTATAAACCAACATGCACAAGAAGTAGTCCTAATAGAGGTTTTGTACATTTATGATATGCCCACATGTATGTGCATTCCTATCACACACAGCATCATCCCTATTTACAAGATGATACACCTGTAGACTCTCTGAAGAGCTGCTGACTGGTGAGTCTTTACTATCTCAATATTTTTCTTATTATCTCTTACATCAAAGTCAACCACCACGGGATTGTCCTTTGTTGATTCCAACCAGTTTTTGAAGATGATGTGTTCTGGAAAAGCTCCTTTTTTCTCCCAGGCCAGAGCTGCTGCCTGCTCTGACCTGCCACCTTTTACCAGGGAGACTGACCGTTCAGATGACTGCAAAATGGAACCTGAAAAAAGATTTCAGCACAGTATTTTCAGACAGAGGCCTCCAAAGACAGTAGATGCAACAACAGAGTTCTAAGAAAAAGTGTAAGATGATATAGAAGAATTCACTAACGTTGATTTTTTGAAGTTGCCCTTGATAAAATGAAGTCTAAACTCAGAAAAACACTCCCTGCTATGACAGCAGCCTGTCATAGTATTCCAAATGAGTGTTTGACACCTGAGCCCTGAAGATATTCAGAACTATATAAGACACTTGTGGGAAATGCAGAGGATACAGTAGGCTTTTCTAGAACACACTGCAAGGCAGGATCTTTAGTCCTAAATGTCAAATCCTGAGAACTGTAAACTGATCATATAATGAGGACAGAAATAGGGTGGAGGTGATGAAATCGCTGTTCTCAGTAACACGGAACATGACTATTGCCACCCTTGTGGAAAATGCACCAGCTTTCTGCAGTTTCTGAGACAAATTTCTGGCACTCTTGTACCTAGATGTCTGCTTGGTATGAGGAAGGTGGGAGGGGAAGGTCAAGGAGTATATTATTGCTGCCCAACTCTCTCAGTGAGCAACTTAAAGAAGATCATGGCCTCAGTTATGATCACACATTTCTAGTTGTGCTCATCTCCCAGTTCTCTGTGCCTGGCCACAGACCCAGGCCCATGGGAAATGTTTGCCAGATCTCTGACTGACTGGATAGCCAGTGCCACCAGATCCCCAGTGATGGTACTCCAGAGCAGAAGAGTGCCCCCACATCATAATTCCATTTGCAAGTAAGACAATTATTTCAGTGCTTGTGTCAGGGGCATACAGTGAAACACTGGCTCTTTTAACACTGGTGAAAGAGCATCAGCAAAGCTGGGAGGTCAGCTGGGGCAGCTGTGGGAATTGGTATCACTTAGGCTGGTAACTGTCGCCATCCTGGTCACCTTCATGTTTCTCAGCCATCCTGTTTGAGGTGCACCTGTTCTTGACTTTCTTTCTAGTGAAGAAGAGCACACGGACTTTTGTTTCTGTTCGGACACACTCTGTTGATTCATCCACTGTCAGGCCTAGAAATGGCAGACAGCAGCAGCTTCATCACCATAACCATGATACATGACAAGCACCACGCCCCCAGGCTTCCACATGGAGCTGAGCCAGCAGGTTTCCCTACTCCTCACCCACCACTGGAGACCAGACTCAGTCCACTGCAGGCACCTGCTTCCCCAGGTATGGAGAACATTGGACTGAGCCATGCTTACCATACCCTTTATATATTCTCCCATGCCCATGCAAGTTACAGCAGTGGCATCAAAGATCATAGTTTTTAACCTTAGATTTCCATTTTTGTGGTATCATCTTTTCATTTTGACAGCCTGGCACAAATGAGAAATTTTTAGAGTAATTTCAAATCCATACCACCAACTTTAATTACTGAATCCTAAAGAGTACCAGTTACATCACTCAGATCTCAGTCACACACAATAGTATGCTGGAACACCTTTTCCTGGTAGTACCTGGTCTGGATCTGAAGTTCTTAAGTGGCTTCCCTGAACACAGTGACGTTTGCCAAATAAGGAATCTAGAACTTTTCCAATTAAGACAGTGTAAAGCAAAAGTTTCTTCTTGCTCTATATGTAGGCAGTGTGAATAAATCCTGAGTCTGTGAAAGTCTAAAGAATGTTTTTGCTGTTGGAGAACTTACTGTGTGGTGTAAGACCTAAAAACAGTGATAAGAAAAGCTGGTAAACAAATAATGATCTTTTCTTGTTAAAAGATTACATACCTGAGTTCTTCAGTTCCTCAGAGCTATACTGGTAAAGAATGTCATAGGAACCACCCATCTTCCCAGAGGTGTAGTAATGGGTGCCAAACTCGTCAAATATTCTGCTGTATAAAGCATAGTTGTACTCCAGGGGCAGATGGTTAAGGGCTTTTAGAAAGACATCTGAGAGCTGCAGATCTGACTGCTTCATTGTGAAGTTTGCAACAGAAATTACTTTATGGACTCTAATAAAGTTGGAATTCTAGAAATAAGAAAAGGAGAATCTCAGCACCTTCACAGACAGTTAAGAGCAGAAAGTAGAGGAGTCAAGAGTTCAAGAGTATATGCTGACATACATTGCAAGAGCTAATTATTCCTGTGTATCATGCTGCTTTAACCATAAGCAAAGTAACTCTGGATTTTCTAAGATTTTGGTGAGGTTATTGATAACTCCCTTACACAGAATACTTAACAGAGGTCTATGAGAAAGCTGGGGACAGACCTTTTAGTAGGACTTGCAGCAGTAGAACAAGGGGTCATGGTTTCAAGAGGCTAGATTCAGACTAGATATAAGAAAGAAAATTTTATGGTGAGGATGAAATACTGCCCAGAGAGATGGTGGATGACCCATCCCTCGAAACATCCAAGGCCAGGTTGGACTGAGCTCTGAGCAACTTGGCCTCGTTGAAGGTGTCCCTGCTTATTGCAGAAGGGTTGGACTAGATGGCTTTTAAGGGTCCCTTGAAACCCAAACTATTCTATCATTTTATTATTCTTTGATTAAAGGATCTGAAACCAGGAAGGTACACTGGAGGACCAGCCAACCCAGCTCAAAAACGTTTCTACTAAACTAAACTTAAAAAATATTAAGTTTTTGTATTTCTTGCATGACAATATGGAAAAGCACATGACACTTCAAGTGGTTAGGACCCTCTGGAGACCCTAGGATGCTCAGTGTGAAACTCTTATATAGGTTTAATTGAACCTCTCAACCCCCAGGTAAGTTCCCTCTCCTTTTAAATGATCAATATAAACTTCTATTTTCACTATTTAAGAAAGAATTGCAAATTCATTTGTAGGGATCCCAAACATATAGAGGTACACATCTATCTACAAACACCCATTAAGAAAATTTATACAGATAGAGATAAAAATTGAGGCTTCCTGTATGATACAGTAGGCAACATGAGGAAGACCCAAGATAACACTCCTGCTGTGGATCCACTAAGAAGGAATCATAACCTGTATCATCTTTAGCCAATACCAGACTCAGTTATTGGTGCGTTTCTGTGATTTCATAGAATCACAGAACCATGGAATGGTTTGCATTGGAAGGGATATTAAAGATCATCTAGTTGCAGCTCCTCTGCCATGGGCAGGAACATCCTCCACTAGAACAGCTTGCTCAAAGCACCATCCAACCTGGCCTTGAACAATTCCAGGGATGGGGCATCCACAATTTCTCTGGGCAACCTGTTCAGTGCCTCACCACCCTCCATGGCAACAATGCTGAAGACAAATGTGCATGCAAAAGAAGCTTTATGTTGAAAGTTTAATTTAAATTAGCATTTTCATAATTAAATTTCATCTGGGTTTAAGACAATAAGAAGCCACTGTTCCACCAAAAATATATTGTCAGTTGTACAAAAGGACAGCCTGATCTGTGTATAGATATCTACATGGGGGTGAAAGTGAACTGGTTTCCAGTAGTTGGAAGTAGTAGACAATTTAAGTAATCAAGTTGCTTAAACATTAGGACAAGTCAGCAAGGCTTGCAGCAAACTTGCATCATAAGGTTTATTCTAATTGCATTAGAACTCTTGGGTTTCAACAAGCCTTAGCTTCATTCAGTCCTATGGCCCTTCCTATGTAGAAGTGCAGACAATAACCAGTCCTTTACTGCCATAATACTACTAAATTACATCATGTTATACCCTGTAGTATTCATTTGCCTGAAAGGTGCAGAATTCAGGGGCAAAAATGTTTCTGTTGTGAGAAACCTTTCTACAAATGTGTTATTTCTGAGATTATCTTTATGACCAAATGCCTCTTGGCAGACATAAAACTCCAATATGCAAGTTAGCTACCAAATAAAAAAAAGATAGTATGGACTAATAACCAGTACCTGAATCTGTATAACATTCCTGAGTGCATCTCTTTATTTTTAGAGTTGTCTGCTACTGTTAGGCACTGTGGCCTCTTAAAATATAATTATGATAGGGAAAGCAATGGTTTACCCAATTTTAATGTCAAATCTATGTTTTTGTTTTTAAGTGGAATGAGCTTATGTTTTCTGTACTAAATCCAGAAAACCATAGAATCTACCTGGTTGGAAGAGACCTCAAAGATCATTGAGTCCAACCCTACTGTCGTTACTAGACCATAGCACTAAGTGCCACATCCAGTCTCATCTTCAAAACCTCCAGGGATGGTGAATCCACCACCTCCCTGGGCAGCCCATTCCAATGCCCGATAACTCTCTCTGTAAAAAATCTCTTCCTAATATCTAACCTAAACCTCTCCTGGCAGAGCTTGAGTCTGTGCCCTCTTGTCCTACTGCTAGTTGCCTGGGAGAAGAGACTGGACCCCTTTTTTTCCAAGGGCTGTTTCCAAAGGTACACCTCAAACCAAACTTTTCAGCAGGCCAAAGACTGCCCTTTGAAAGTCCAGGGTAGAAGTCTTATTGATGGCCCTTCTTGCATCCCTGAGTATTGGGAACCCTATAATTTCATGGTTGCTGTGCCCCAAACTATCTCCAAACACCTCATCTCCCACCAGTCCTTCTCTGTTTGCAAACAGCAGGTCTAGAAGGGCCCCACCCCTGGCAGGCTTGTCTACCAGCTGGAGTAGATAATTGTCCCCTATGCACTCAAGGAACCTCTTAGACTGTCTTTTCTCTGCTGTATTACATTTCCAGCAGACCATTTTGCATTACAGAATGTATTTTTACAATGAGGAACATCTGTAGTATCAGAAGAGGAACTTTTTGATGCATAATCCTAGTAGGCCAATGCCTTCCAAGGAAAGTATCTTCTGGTAGTTCAGTTCTGAAATGAGCAGACAGAAATCAAGTGGAACATAGAAACTTAGAGTAACACTCAACTACCTTTTCATGTGAGGCTGCAATGGCTTTCTTGAAGGAAGAAAATGATGTAACTGTAACCCGTGTCTTTTTTGAGTAGAAAATTGGGACACGAAAAGTTGTTCTAGCTGCAGTAGAAGCTGCTCCAAGTACAGAAACACTATCACTCAGAGAAGTCAAATCATTGTAGAAATCTGATTTTACATCATCCTCTTCGTCTGTTACCTGGAGATTCAGTAAAGCAAAATGCATTTGCCCAAATAATAATCTGAAATACAAACCTATTAAGCAATTAATTCTTTATTTCTTGATTTTTTTAATGGAAGAAACATTCCTGAATATTTGAGACATGGCAGTAAGCTATAAAACTGTTCTTAACACAAAAGATGAAGCCAAGAAAGGCCAATAGGCAAAATGAATACAAGATAAGAAACAGACTTACTAATTGGCATTTATAGAACAACAACAAAAATAAAGCATGTAACACTTTCTTCCCCACCTCCATGCCTCAAAGCATAGGAATAATTTTCAACAACTGTGATTGAACACACTTTTAAAAGAATTTCAGACATTCATGTTATGTCCACACTATGACTCCTTCCCAACCCCATGGCTTCTACATTGTACAAGGCAGGGCTTGGTGTTTCCTGGACTTTCATCTTAGTTCCCAGCTAGAAAAAATGAACAAGTTGCCAGAGGGGAGTCTCAGAGCATACTGGCACTGTTAGCACCCATACTGCATGATGGACTAAGGGTGGGTGGGGAGGAACAGGGAGCAAACCTGCCTGATTAAGTTGGTAACCTCAGTGGTGGTGTTGGACAAAGTACCAAGACAACTTTAGCATCAGAACAGAATTTACTTATTTCCCAAAATCCAGGCAACTCCCTGTGGGTTTCTGAAAGACACATTTTTTTCCCTCCTCTGGACCTGTATATTTAATAGGGCTGCTAAGGACCTTGGGAGCAAAGGTGGTCCATTCCTGCAGTCCACTTCTGTTTTATGCCATATGCTTCTGCATGAACATACACTGGAGTTCCAAGAAGAAGGCCTGACCCAGCGCCCCTTGTATACCAAAAGCTGCTCTAAATGTTGTGCTCTCAAAGGTGAGATTCATGAACACTTAACAGCTCTGCAACTGTTACTGCAACAAGTAACTCAATGAACCTCTCAAATTTAAAGAGGCCTGGGAAAACCAAGGGTTGTTTTTCTCCTCTGAATACTTCTGTCCACAGTCATTTTTCACCATTTTTGACAAAGCCTATCTGTCATGGCCAATTCAATTGCAGTTTCCATGGAATGCATTAGGGTGTCCTTTGCTAAGTTGCTCCTGTTAAAGGAATTCTAGAACCACACCACGCCTGTGGCAAAAATCAACAGTTCAGATTTCATCCATTAGTTGAGCTTTTTGAACATGCTGCGTTCTTTCCTTCTCAGTGCAGTGTCTATTGGCTTTAGGCAACACCTGCCCTTATGAGTGCACAGCCAAAAATTGTGCCCCAACCATGGTATTCGAAGTATTTTCTACATATCAGTGTCTTTAAAAAAAATAAAATAAAAGTATCAGTTGTTCACAGATTTTTTTACAAGATACAAGCCAAGTTAATTTTGTCCTTGGCCTGTCCTGCAAGCCTTCCCCCCGGACTGTGTATGTCTTGTCCTCCTGTCTCCCAGACTCAGTGTCTGCCTCCTCTCTTTGCTACTCTGTGGAGGGTCTGGGCAGGCAACAGGCAGGACTGAAGGGTTGAAATGTCTCGGGGAACAACTGTGTCTTAAGGCTGCAGATGACATGAGGGAAGCTGGAGCTAGGAGCTGCATCCATTGGTACTTCAAGGATACAGCAATGATGCTGGAATAAACTTTGGACTTGAAAGAACCTCTGACTTGATCATGTCCAGGCTAGGAACAAGGCCCCAGGTACCAAGTCAGAACAAAGACACGGCCACAGCCACAGGGAAGCAGGATAAATTCAAATCAACCATGGTGTCTCTGATATATAATGCTGTGAGTTAACACAAATCTGAAAGGCTTGAGTAGAACGACAAAATTCATCCCATTTCCATACATCAACCAAAGCATGTTAAAGCCTCACCAGACTGAGAAATCTTGGCCTAAAACACATAGTACTGTCTAAGACTTGAGTACTTGGGTTGTGATTATAGCAAGGGTTTTTCTGCTAGAAGCTGCTGCTTGGGAGTACCTGAAAGTTGACAGCCTCTAAATTCTCAGGAACGCGATAGGATTTCCTTGTTTCACTGTGCTTCACTGTTGTGCATTTTCCTCCATTGAATGAGTTGTCAAGGACTTGTCCTCGGCTCTCTCCTGCTAGAACGTGAAATCTAACAAAAAAACATATTTCTAGAGATTAAACAACCCCAGAAAAATGTATGGACTTGAAACATTTCATGGGTTATAGCTGCACGGAATTTTCTGTAGGCTTGAATCAGAGCGTGAGTGTCTGGGTTATGTTACTGCTTTGAAAGAAATTCCTCTACAAGAACTTCTCAGACACGCTGAGGTCATCTGAAAAATGCAGTAACATCAATCCAGCTTCCTACTTTCCACCAGTGCCTAACCCTACTGATAATCACAACGTCGCTATGAGACCGTTAGTCTTACGTGGAGAAAGAACCAAGGTCTAGGAATATGAACAAGCAGGTATCCATTTCTACCATAAGTGATGTTACTGGAGCACACTGAGATCAAAATTCAGTTAAAAAATGTAAGACTACCTGGAATAGGCATCCCATGTTTAGGTTTTACACTGCTTAAATTAGTAGCCTGGGAGAGGTTGGTATAACGTTAAATGTAGCACAGACAAAAAACATCTATAGAGGAACATCCTCAAAGTTTCTGAAGCACTTGGCACAATGTACGGGCAAGTATTGCATAAGCTGGAAGTTGCCCCTACATGATGCTCTGGTTGCTGTGAGGCAGGAAAAGTCACTCAGAGGCAGTGCTCCCTGGTGTACTAGCAGTGCAGGGCAGGACTGGAAGAGGCAGCAGGCGAGTCCTAGCCTGGTGGTTTTGTTGTTTTTTTTAAATTCCTTTCTAATTTTAATTCAAGAGATTATAAGTTTTAATGGATGCTCTCACATGCTAACAGGGACTTCTTTTGTTTATGTAATTTAGTGAGATAACAATCTCAAGCTTATGAAAAATAAGCACAGCTGACTTACCCACTGCTTATCAAATGCACTCCTGGGATGCTCTCATACTGTCTGTTACACACAGTCTTTTTCCTTCTACAATTTCTTTCATCAGAGTTGTCCCCGCAGTCATTTTGTCCATTACATTCCAATGTTTTTGAAATACAGCGACCTGCACCAGAGAAGCAGCAGCGGCAATTCATCATGTCTGAATGCAGAAAAGGGCAATCTTGTCTTTTTTGCTAGTAAAAGTGTGATCTTGCCATAGATGTTAACAACGAGGCAGTTTTCTGGATTATCCCAATTAAGAAACAGTTGTTTCAATTCTGCCAGTTTTGCCTTGCTTCGAGGCTGCAAAGACTTAATTTAAGGTTTAGCAAAAGGGTATGTGAATAAAGTTATTTTGAAGTTAATCAGGTATATTTAAATTGAAGCAAACAAGAAATCACCACAAATCTAATACAAATAGTGAGAGTTTATGTTCAAACTCTATATATGTGTTTGTATATGAAATATTTGTACAAAGAGATGTTATTGGAATAGTGCTACTGTCTAGCTATCATGGTCATAATGACATCCCAGGCTAGGGATTCCATTTTAATTACTTACAGAAGAAACTGCAAATATAACCTGCTTCTAGTACATATGAAATCCTTATGTATACTTTTCTGCTTGGTCCCTTTTGCCTGGAATTTATGCATGCAATGTACAAGATCTGGATCCCTTGGACCTTTTCTGTCTCAGCTTTTGACTAAGTAGTAATGCAGCAGCTACAGAATGAAGACTATCATTACCACTTTCACACTGAAATTTGTCCTTGCAATCAACTTCCACTATGTTGCAGAGTTTAGTTGGGAAACACGGGCGGGAATCCACCAGTGGCTCAGTACAGACCTGACCCCCAAACTGGGATGGTCGCAGGAGTTTCCTGGTACGAAACTGAAAGGCAAAAGAAATAAACCCAGGGTTGCTTGTGAGAGCAGGTTTTGTAGCTAAGTGCCACCCCAGACAGAGCCACGTGCCTCAGTGCTGCTGAAGTTTTATCGAAACCAAAGCCCTGAAGGCAGACAGGAGACTAATACCCAAGAGTCTTGATAGCCCTGATGGAGCATATGTGATTAAACAGTAGACAACCTGGTTTATATCACTGAAAGGAATTGAAAGTTCAGTCCCTGTATCTTCTGTGCCAAACATACAGTAGGAAATGGTGTACGAACAGGCTTACAGAGATTATTCCTATTCTTTATCTCCTCTGTTGAAATAGAAATACTTTGACAGCAACATATGTCCCCAAACCAGCTGTCTTGGCTTGCAGACATAGGGTCTCTAGTCTGAGGAGCACTGGATGACCAGGGAGGACGAAAATGCTTTTCCTGAAAGTTTCTGTTGCTAAAATGGACATGGGAGCAAAATCTGGAGCTCACTGGGTTTTCTTTGCCCAAGTTAGTACACCCTATGCAGAACAATACAGCTGAAAGCTTCCAGACATAGCACTTCAGGTATGTTTTCCACTCCATGTCAAGGGACTGCTAGTGAGACCTGTCTGCATGTGACTGAACAGTTTTTCCTCTATGAATTTTTTCCATTGGGAAAGCATGGCTTCTCGCAGACTTCCATTACATCCCTCTCTGTAGACAGACCCTGGAGACAAAAAATGCAGGAAGATTCTAGTGAAAATCAGTAACCAAGTGACTCTGAAGGGAGAGTGCAAGGAGCAACACTGGAAAGCTTTCAAGCTCAAGAGAACACTTCCTTGTATTGCATTTCAGATCCATAGCACTCACTATAATATTTGTGTAAGCTTCCACTTCTTCATCCCACCACCTCCCTGGGAGCTTGCTCACACTAGTCTTCATTCTTACCTTTGAAGCCACGTCCTCCATTCTGTGGTTATTCCTGTATAAAGGTCACAAACAATGCTCTATATAGTTTGGAGGAGAAAATGGATCACAGTTCACAAAACCACCTTTTCACTTGAAGACACATATATGTTGCATCAATATTTAAAATTGGTAAAAATGAACACTTTTATATATGGATGTGTAGGTAAGAAACTCAGACATTCAAGAGGATATTGAAATCAGTTCAGTTGAGAGTAATGCCCTCTTTCAGCTCTGGTATCTTGCTGTTTTCCAGTCTCCCACTGTTTATAATTGTTCTGCTCCCATACTGTCCATCCCAGTAGCAAGATGAGAACCCCACAGAGCGATTCACATCTTACACCTAGAACAGTCTTTTCCTGTCTTCCTCATTCTGTATGGGCATCAGAAAGTTATGTATGTATGTAAAGATATATGTATGGCGTCTGACAGGTTTATCACGACAGCTTTTCAAGCATGGATTTCTGACGTTGAGAGGAACATTTCGAGAGATGTAGGCTGTGTTTGCACAGAACCTCAGAGCTGTTATCATGGTCAGCCTTGAAGCTTAGACCCACCAGCCACATTAACTACCCCAAACAACCTGCACTCCACTCCCCTCTACCCTCAACAACCTTACATTTGAAAGGGCTTGGTTTATTTAAATCAGGTCCACGTGAACCTGATTTTCACTTCTTCCCTCTCTACTCTCTCACCTCCAAGTCTACCATAAATCAGCAGACAAAAGCCTGAAAGGAAAAAACTCCATTCTTGGACTTTGGCCTGTGGATAGTAAGCACGTATACTTGGGGCCTGATTTTTTTGTATGAAAGCTGGGGGAATGGTGCTCTGGATTTCTTAGTAGCAATCTCAAATGGATCCTGACTATCAGTGTAAGATATAGCATGAGCATTTCTAGCTAGCGCTGCTTAGTTAACTGGTTTGCTAGTTAACTCTTTTTTGTAGATGTTTTGATCCCATTTTTTTGTCTTTAGAACATACAGAATGCTAAAATTCCATGTTTTTCTCCTGCTTAAACAGACATGCAAATTTTAGAGCTTAGTTTTTTCTTCGTGTGAAAAACTCACCTTTATTTGTGGCCGTGGAAACTTTGAAGGATGTTCTCATAAATGGGTTTACTCTAGTAGATCACCCCTTTCTGGTTTGATCTGCTTATTTTAACTTGCTCTCTCCACCTTCTACTGTTGTAATTCATAACCTTCATTTCTCTTTTTAACTTAAACTGTCATTTTGCATGTCAATTACCACAAAGCTGAAACAAGCAGATCTCTTCAGCATAATTTCTTGCATTAAACCCATATAATACATTTTCTACCTACTTGTTTTTTAATGCATGGATCACAATCTGACCAAGGGCCAAAGTCCCCGAGCAGACAGTTGATAGGACATGTTTCCTGGTTACATGCACGAGATTCCTGCTTTGTGCACAGCCGGTCACAGTAGTTTTCAAGATAATATTCATCCACTCTTATTTGCCTAAAAAATGTAACAAGTTATGCTAGGAAAGAATAGACAAATCACAGATGATCTCTAACCGTGGATGAAGGCTGATAAAATTATTTGAGCCTAACTAAAAAGACTTGAGATACATTATGCAATTGCAGAATGTTGACTACAAGAAAAATCCAAATCTGCCTTCAGTTTAAAGAGCAATTCTTTTTGATTCATGCCATTTCAGATGTCCCAGAGAACAGCTACAGACAGAGCCAGGAGGAAAAGAGGGGAATTCTCACAAGTTTAGATTATACCACTGAGCTGCATCCAATTTGGTGCTGCTGAATATTTATTTGACTTTAACTGTTGTCATAAAATTAATGGTGCTGGGAGGACATTTCTGTAGGTTTGCCATGCTGGCATCACTCTGCACTGGGCAGAGCTCCCAGAGCTGGGCACTGAACACCAGCCTTGTATGGTCACAGGAGCTGAATGCTTACTGCACCTTGCCAGCAAGGCAGCCATAGTGCCTGCCTGTTCTCACCTCACTACATGTATTGGCAGATATATGTTTGTTTGGAGGCACTGTATCATAGAATCATCAAGTAGTCTGGGTTGGAAGAGAGATCATCTGAAGCTCCAATCAAAACTCCATGGGCAGCACTGTAATATCCTATATACATAATTTTGTAATTTTAAAGCTTTGCAATTAAAAGATAATCTATTTATCTGATAAACACTTGAATATGACAATTTTTCTCAGCCTATTATGGAAGGTGGAGCTTCAGACACAGGTCCCCCTCTCCAGAATTGGTATTTTCATAGAGAATAAATAGAAATATAGAAGTAGTGATATAACTTGGCCCTACCTGTGCCTGGTCTGAGTGCCGTAATTGCAGGTTTGTGAACAGGCAGACCACGATCCCCATGGGTAATGTTCACAGTAGCACCCCTGGCTGCTCCCAATCACCATGCTCAGCAGGACCAGGTGCATTAGCATAGTCTTGTCCATAGCAAAGGCATCCATCTACAGCACATGGACCGGCAACAAAAGCTCAAGAAACTATCGCTTACAGTTATGACAGTATATTACAGAGATGTCTCTTCTTATATGAAGAGTCTATGAATCTATTCACAATAGAAAGCTGCAAATCAGTGCACCTAGAAAGGGGCAATCATGCACAGTAGACATCTAGCAGTAATTCAGTTAATACTCTTAGGACCAGAAGTCACATTGGGTTTTTTGCCACTTATTTATCAGGAGTGCTAATCACCACTCTGCATTATTTCTGTTTTACAAGTTGTTTATAAATAATTTTGAATGTGACAATTAAAGGTGTGCTATTTTCTTCATTCCTTAAAAGTATTCTCAAAATTATGTTCTAGAAATAAGAATTAAAGCATGAGACTGCTCTTCCTATGAAGCATGTGAAACAAAAAACAAGACCTTAAGATTAAGCAGCCTCAACTACTAGCCTGTAACCAATTCATTTTCACATGCTTATAAAGCCCCTTTGCATAAATATTTTGCTGCAGTGAATCCTCCCTTCTCGAAGTTTTGACTAGCCTGTTGAAACTATCCTGATGAAATTATCACTATTCAAATCTCATCTGAATTTTCTATCAGCAGTAGAAACACAACAGCTAGCCTATTTCTCACTCCAGTTGTAAATCAAACTTTATTTGATAAGACAGAAGGTTATAGGCAAAATTAAGGAAGTGATAGACTTAGTAAAATGTAAAAAAATATTGCAGGTCATATAGGTATTAATTGAAAACTGCAAAATAATTTTCCTCTTCATCATGAGATTGAATCAACACTAAATTTGATAGGCTGTTACAATAAGGCATTATAATTTTGGTTTGTGTCAAAAAAAGCCAAATCCCAAGAGGACATTTTAAACCCAAAGCATTTATTTAAAAACAACACTCTAAGATACTTCATTTCAAAATGTTTGAAATTAATTGTGCCATTGTTTTCTACTTTAGGTTTTTAGCTGCAAAGGCAATTATTATTTTTACACCTTACTGAGAAAAATAAAATTGCATCAAGTCAAAACATTGTTTGCTCCCTCAGTAAAGAAATGCAGTAAGCCTTCACACAGCTTCTCAGAGTAATGAGAACTCAGCAAGTTTTAAAAAAAACCCGTCAATGAACAAGCCTTTGAGAGGGATTTAAGTATAATCAATATGAAAATAGAGTGAAACTGTAGACAGAGAAAGGAGCAGTCTTGCCAATGGACAAAGAATATTAAATCCTTTTCCTTACCTGAGTTCCTGGCTTCTTGCACCAACAGTGCCACCATAGAAAAGAGATAAAGCCCTATAGAACAATTACTTTCTTCATTCCTTCACTGTGCTGTATATAAAAAAAATTGTTTATTCTCATCAGATCAGTGTATTAACAGCCATATAAATGTAAGAACATGAGAGAGTAGCTCAACGTTTTAAAGAAAAAAAACCCGACCAAAAAACCCCACAGAACTCTTCTCTATGTCTTGCAACCTGTGTGCATTGAAGTCAACAAAAAAAAAATAGTCATCATTATTATCTTACTGTAAGACTATTAGCTGCAAAGTCAATCAACTTAGCAGACTGGTACGAGCTTGGTGTGGTTTGCTGCAGTCTTTCAAATGAAAGGCTGAAGGTTTTGTTTGATTTGGTTATCCATTAATGAATGCAGATCAATCTGGTGGCAGGAATGGTCAAAACAGAATGACCAGTACACCTGCATCCTCAGAGAGATGTGTTCTAAAGAACTGTGGAGGAACTGCTCTTCATAAAATTGCAGGCACTCAACATGAGCCAAGAGGAATCCAAATACCTTTGCATTAGGCCACGGTGTTTCAGTGCACTTCAGGTCATCTTGTGCTGCCCAATAGAACTGTGCAACCTCTCTGCTCTCAGTTTGAAGGCAAGAGAGTGAGAATTTTGTAAGAAGGCTCATTCTTATAATTAATTACTACTTTCACTAGGAAACTGGACACAGAGTCCAGGCTAAGGCAAAATATCTGTCTGTTGGTGCACCATCTCTGTAAAACTGGAGCTCCCAAAGAAAACAGAACTCCAAAAACATTTGAGGTTACCGGTAGCTCTTGCATTTTGACCTCAGTGGTGAGCCCTGGGCATGCAATGACCCTGGGGAAACACTGCCAACAGACTAGAACTGCTGAGAGCCTCTGCCCTGCAACATGGGCACCACCATAAGTCTGAGGTGCCACGGCAGGAGTTAAAATGGAAAATGAGATAATACACCCCTGCAGAACAGAAACAGCAATTATGAGCACAAGACAAGGAAGGAGTTTGACATAAAAAAATAATCAAATTATGGCACAGAACCCAAAACCTCTGAAATACCCAAGCATTCATGCCACCCAGAGGGCAATGCTGCAGTCAATCCCCCTTCACTTCATTAGACTGGCAGAAGCACATCAAGATGTCAGAGTCCTCAAAACATATTTCCCAATTTGTTGGTATCCAAGGTCATATATATACTTGAATAAGAAAAACAACTCGGAGCTTCCTGCATAGATTCATTTTTCAGTTGCCTTTGCAGGGTTTTTTTCATTCTGAACTTGGCCAAGTGTTGTTACACAACTTGAGCATTCAATTAGCAAACCAATGTTCTGCCAGATCCTTATTACATTGTGTAAACTTGTCAAGGAAAATCAAAATAGTTATCATTGGCTTCATCGTTGCTGCTGGGTGGGATTTTTAAATTTATGTGAAAAACACTCTCTTCTACCCTTCAGAGAGCATCTTCTAAACATCAGCACTTCCAGCTCACTAAGAGCTCCAGTGGGACCTCCAGACTCAGTGGAATCCCAAAGAGGAGATGCCTGGTTTCTTCCAGCCTTGTAGAAACAAACCACAGCTGTGAGCTGCAAGTCTGTGTTCATAGTGGTATAATGCAGCAGCTTAAAGCTTCTAGCTTTTACAATTTTTCTTACAGGAAAACAAGGAATTAGTAAACAGTTTTAAAATTTTAGAAGGCTAACAAATGAATGGCACTTCGCACAGTGTACAAGCAGTCAATGGAATTTATCATTAGAGAACAAGCTAGCAGACAAACACCACAGTTAGCAGAATATATAACAGAATATTAATAACAGAAATATTAAGTGAAGACTGGCACTGGTAGACTTCACACCAAAGCCAGGGCTTGAGGGCAGCATGAGTACATCCATATTAAACCCTTAGATGGGAGTTCATGTGAACTTAACTCAGCTGTCTGAAACTTATGGGCCACAGCAGAAAAGAACACTGCTTGGGCTAACACATTTTGGCAAAACTGCATTCAGCTGTTGGTGTGCCCAAGGAGGCTGTCAGCCCATCTGCAAGCAGGTGAGTTGATCTGGACCAGAACAACAAAGGGGGCAGTCATGTAACTAAAGTGACTAGAAAAAGGAATTTTTCCCAAGTGTGGTAGTTCACTGCTGGACACCAAAGGACTGCACTCCACATGTATGGTTTCTTACATGTTTTGTCTATAGGATAGCCTCAAAGCAATTTCATTCTCACCTGCCCTGGCTGAAGGTCAGGCCTTGCATCCTTTCCTTACACCACTTTAGGGTATCTGGACAGCAGGCAATACCCTAGTGCTGACAGTCCACTTCTGTCCTAATAGTCAGCTACTCTCAGGATTTCCTTCTGACATTTTAAAAATATAAGAAATAAAAAAAATCTGCTCAGAGTTCCAAGCACATAGAAGTTTATTCAGCAATATGGCAAATGATGGCTCATGCAAACAAGGGTGCCTTCTGAGACTGATTTTCACATGGAAAGTCATCTGCACCAAAAGATGTTATTCCTCTGGACAGTGGTCCTGCAGGCTTTCACACCCATAGGATGCTGTGCCTTACCAAGTCTCTGGTCTGAAGCTCTGGTACAATATTCCCCAAAGACCAAAGCACTATCACTAATCAAATTGGGAGCAACCCAAAGAGGTCAGTGTAGAGTTGCATGCCATTTTACAGCACTCAGACTTTGGAAGTGTCTATGCACATATTTGTGACCTCAATTTCATTACTTCTACAAGAAATATTTCTTCAGTAAAACAAACATAACATCCCTTCATCTCTTCTGCAATGTGTTTATAAAAGATCATTTTTCAAAGAATGTAGAAATGTTATCTCAAAGGGAACAGAAAAATCCAATCAGTATTCTGCTTGACATTAGAGCATTTCTAGCTGGGTTTCACAAGGTCATGCCTCATCTATTTCATCCTGTATCTAATTCCCCATACTCAGAAAAAATAAGTTATGCTCCTATTCAACCTCCAACTCCCCTCTTAGGGCAGGTCCTGTTCTCATCCCAAACCTCTGCTCAAAGAAGAAACTCTTGAACTTTAAAGGGGAAAGAACAGAAGAAAGGGGGCAAACACCACATTTTCTGAGTAGTAAGTAGAACTTAAGTCAAAGAGCTCTTCAATTTGTGACATCCCCTTGTGTTTTCCAGATACCCTAGGTGCAGAAGTAGGAAAAGCCGTTCATCCTGTCCCATAAAATTCGCAACCATGGACTGTTGCCGCCTTCTTCTAGTTTTTTGGATAATGGATAGCAAGAGTTTACTACACTGCATCCCTCACCTTACACAAATCTTAAAGACATGGCTCCAGTTGAATGCTTTCTGACAAAATGTGGACTTTTAAGAGCATAAACTGATACTATTCATGAGACACTTTTTCCTCCTCAAAATCTTCCTGAAAACAAAACACAAGAGAAATCTCTCATCCCTACATGGCAGATCAAAATTTAACATCAGGATGGACTGGGAGGAAAATACACCTTACGCTTAATAATTCATTGAGGTGTTTTCCCTCCCCATATACACCCCATGAGAAGGGATATTGAAACAAAGAAGAAATGAAGGCATCTTTAAGCATGAAAGTGCATCAGAATGGCTTCAATACTGAGCTATTTTGACACATCCTGTGGCAGTAAGAAAAAAGAACCATATAATATCTTATATTTTCTGTCCATCACTGGGCCATCTGAGGACAGGGGTGGCAGTGCCGCTGGCATGGCA